ATAAAATAAAATATAAATTTAAAATAAAAAAAAAAAGAAATAACTGATAAATTAGGCTTCATCAAAATCAATACCTTCTGCCCATGCTAGACTGGAAAAAAATACCTACAAAACATATCTGACAAAGGACATACCTAGAATATATAAAGTACTCTTACAACCAAGTAATAGAAGGCAGTAACTCGACTTTTCAAATGAACAAAAAAACCTCACTGGACACTTCACATGAAGACATAAGCACATGAAAAGGTGCTCAACATCCTTAGTCATGCCTGCTCCTCAAGCCACAATGAGATACCACTACTCACCCACCAGAATAGCTAGAATTAAAAAGATTGACAACACCTAATGTTAGCAAGAATATAGAACAATCAGAACCCTGACACACTTCTTGTGGGAGTGTAAAAAGTACAACCACTCTGAAAAAAATGTCTGCTAGTTTCTCATAAATCTAAAAATACAACTACCCTATAACCCAGCAATTCCACTCCTAGGTATTTATCCAAGAGATATGAACATGTGTGTCCCCAAAAGACCGATAGATTCATGTTCAGAGCAGCTTTGTTCCTATTAGCTCAAAACTGGAAAGAGCTCAAGTGTCCATCAATAAAAGAATGAATAAACAAACTGTGGTGTCTTCATGCCATGTAATAACACTCAACAATAAAAAGGAACAAACTACTAATACACACGACAACATGAACAATTCTCAGAAACCACACAGAATGAAAGAAGCCTTACCAAAAGATACATACATACTATAAAGTTCCATTCGTATCAAATTCTAAGGCAGGCTAAATTAATTTGTGGTAGAAATAAATCAGAACAGCAGTTGCCTTCAGGGATGTTAGTGCAAAGACTGACTAGGAAGGACCATGAAGGAACTTTCTAGGTAATGGTATTGTTCTGTATCCTTTTTTTTTTTTTTTATTTGCTTCTTTATTGGTCTTAGGGAGAGAGCGATAGAAACATTGATGAGAGAGAACATTGACTGGCCGCTTCCTGCATGCCCCCCACTGGGGATCGCGCCCACAACCAGGGCAAGTGCCCTGACTAGGAATCGAACTGACGACCTCTGTAGTGTTATGTATCTTAAAAGGGGATAAGGTTGCACAAAAGCTACATTTGTCAAAACTAAACAAATGGTATATTTAAGATCATTGCATTTCCCAATTTTATTAAAAACCATAAACAAATACTAAACTCTAATTAAAAAGATGTATGTTCTAAAGTGAATGTCTGTAACTTACTTTGAAATAAAACTTAAAAACTAAGATGAGCCCTGAACAGTGTTAGAGTGTCAGTGGTTAGAGTGTCGGCCCACGCACTGAAGGGTCGCGGGCTCAGTTCTGGTCAAGGGCACGTACGTACCTAGGTTGCAGGTTCCATCCCCAGCCCCATCTCTCTCTCACATCAATGTTTCTCTCTACCCCCCAACCCTTCCACTCTCTACAAAAGCAATGGAAAAAATATCCTCGGGTGAGAATTAACAAAAAATAAATAAGACTAAATAAAATAAAAATAAGAGGGGTCAATGACCGGACAGGCACAAGGACAGATGACTAGATCTGTGATAAAGCTAATACAGCAAGATGTTCACTGTGGGACCTAGGAGGTGGGTACATGGGTGTTCACTGTACAATTTTTTCAAGTTTTTATATGTTGGAAAATTTTCATATTAGGGGAAACAGCTGAAGGAGACACATTTACCATGGCACCTTTGGTTTCTTTCACAATAGACTGAGCTTTGGGAGATGACAGCTACATTCCATGCTTACTTACATCCTGAAAAGAAAATGGGTCACAGGCCCAAAGTATGAACTAGCATAAACACATGCCTTACAAAACTGGGGATGAGGCCTGAACAGAAGTCTGGGGAGTCTAAACCCTTTCTCATAGACGGTGAAGAGCATTTGTACACTTGAACATGGACTGTTTCCGTCCTCGTGATACCAGAAGAGGAGGCAAGAACATGTAAATGAGCAAGGATGGACAGGGCCAGTGCAAACGAAGGCTTACACAAACACTGACACTTCGGCAGGATGCCATTTCCCGGTTTTCTTTTTTTTTAGTCTGGATTGGTCTGATTAAAGGAGAAAGATGAAAAGATGGAGAAGAGTGATTTAACCATCTTGCATGGTTCATTCCAGCAAATGACTGACAAGCATTTGAAGAGTAATTCACAACTAAGTTTGAAAAAATATATAAGTCACACCATAAAGAGACCCAGTTAGTCATCACTCAAAAGTCAGGTAGCCTCTTCCCTTCTAAAGGAGGACCTAGTGCACCTCCTGGCATCAAGACAAGGGGACAATAGCCTGGCTGGGTAGCTTGGCTGGTTAGAGCGTCGTCCCAATGCACCAAGGTTGCAGGCTTGAACCCCGGTCAGGGTTCACACAAGAATCAACCAATGAATGCATACATAAGTGGAACAACAAATCAATGTTTCTCTCTCTCTCTTCCCCCTCCTCTCTCTAAAATTAATAAATAAAATTCAATCAATCAATAAATAAAAAGACAAGTAATTCACACTCTTTACAGCTGAAAAATGCATAGAAATTTTGAAAGAGTAGTGATGAAAAGATTCTACTTCAAATAAAGTTCCTCAGTCTTACCTCTGACCCAAGTCAGAGGGTGCCTTTAAAACCCCATTCTTCTACCAACTCTCAAGGTACTGTGAGAACAAGAGAAACTAACTTTATACCAGGAAAATTTTATCCAAAGTTAAGATAAAAATTATCTTGTTCACTCAAATGGCACCTAAGAGCCTCCTGCTTTCAGATCAGAAGATAGTGGCCTTCAGGAATTCCACAGCTCCCTTGCTGAGCAACAAGCAACACTGTCACATTAGATTCTACTTAAGATAGAGATAAGAATGGCGATAAGAGTTTTAACTGAGATCTAAAAACTTTATTGCCTTGGGTTTGGAAGCTGATCTTTTAACCCCTTCCATTAAGGCAGCAAGCAGGGACATTATTCACTCTGCAGTTGAGAGACAACTCCCAGAGTAGTCACCTGTTTCCTGTCACCAAGCCTTTGTTCTTCCCAGAACAAGTGAACTGTTACCTGTGTAGCCCACTGGATTTGCGTGTGCCAAGCTCCAAGTAAGGCGTCGTAGAGTCCAGTGAGCTGCCGGTCCAGGGGGAGGTCGCTCTGGCACAGCTCCTGCCAAACTGCTACAAGCTGCGCCTGTACAAGCAGACAAAGGGGCCACACTGGGTACAACACATGCTGCCCGCTAAAACCACCCTGCCCTCCTGCCATGGCAAGCAACGTACTGCAGCCCATTATCCTGAGCCACCATGTACCCACTGAGGGTCATGCACTCCAAAAAAGGCAAAAAAAAAAACCCACTTACAGTAACCTGCTCTAATCATCAATCAAAACTGAATCTGTTGCCCTCTAAGTGATCCTTTCTCCTTTTATCTCGCTCCAAAAGCAGGCCGACGTCCTTCCACTCAGTAGGCCTCCACTCCACCCTTTTGAAGAGGCCTCAGAAGGGAGTGTGAATGTGTGTTTTAGCTTCAAGTCCTAACACTACTGCTTACATGACACATGAGCATCGGGCTCGAAAGAAATTAGGTTAGCCCAGGACGCTGTCAAGTTTTGTAGGATCCTAACTTCAACAACCCTAGGAAACAAAATTCTCTTTGCTTGCTGAGGGTATAATAAAGCTTAAGACATGAACTTCCCTTAGAGGACAAAAATGGAAAACTGAAAACAAATTTTCATTCTATAAATGAAATCCGGCTGTAAATAAATACAAGAGAGACCAATTCATTTCCCAACTGGCAATTAAATAAATCCCCAGGCTGGACCGAGAGCACCCCCTGCTGGCTAATGGGAAGAAAAAGGTAAGAGGGCGGAGGCAATTTTTACCTGTGGGTATTAATCTAGGATTCCACAAGCATAGCCACGCACAGCTTCTCACCTTGTGACACTTGTAGTAGTATGCGAGAAGTTGGGGCATCCGGTCTATTTCAGTAAACACCTTCACAAACATTTTGGATTGTTCTAGAGGAGAACAACATAAAACACGTACATGCTGTTACCAAGTTTTCTGCAGCAACCAGAGAAAAGAACTTACTGAATTCGATTTGGATGGACAATGAGCTAGCATTCAGAAGTTCCTACCTAGACAATGATGTAACTCATGCGTGGAAATCATAAATATGAAAAATAAGTTAAGGGTAAAGTAGGTCTCAATTGGACACTGCTTGTTTAGAATAACGTATCAATAAGCATCATTAGAACAGCTAAGATTATACACCAGCTAGGTAATCGTTACATGGGACTAGAAAAGGGTTCAAGTCAGGGCGGGGGGCGGGGGGGGGGGGGCAAGAGTGAGGCGTATGCTGTAAAACTGAAGGAAACTGCTGCTCAGAGTTGTACAAGGGGAGGATGAGGGCCTCCAACAATTTTGTGCTTTACGCAACTCGCCTGACTCTGAGATAGAATCATAAAGTGTCGGCCTCAGAAAGGTTCTAAAACAACCATTAACCAACCCCATTCTACAGAGAAAACTGTAGCCCAAAGAGCCACTAGCAAGTCAACTTCTGAACCACCTGAGCTGCCACCACTCACCTGTCTCTGAGCTACATGGCTCAATGTCATAGTTAAACGAACTAAAAACACTGACACAGGCAGCCTCAGGGCCCTTCCCAATCAGCCGACCTACAGAGTTATCCCTGCTACTCCCTATCACTTCTTCCCCTTCACAGAACTAATCACAATCCACAGTATTCTGTTAAATTATTTGTGTAATAGCTTATGGTCTTTCATGGAAAGGGTACCCCCAAAAAATGTACATAGGGTATCTGTAGATTTTGAAAATGAAATGTATGTTAATAAACACTGGCTTTATAATTATTCAAAGTTGCATATTTCTTGGGACCCCCTATATAAGCTCCACAAGGGCTATTACCTCTCCTGTCTTGTTTCACTGTTTCTAGGAATTATCACAGCATCTGATAGGCACTCAAAAAAAATGCCATAAACTTGATTCCTCTTGAGCCCTGTGCATGGCACCACCCAGGGTCAGGCAGCACCAAAACACGCGCTTGCGCATAACTGGGGTCAACTGCTCCCGCCCAGGCCCTCTTAACTGCAAGTGACAGGGCAGCACTGTGCTGCCGGGGTGGGCTTACCACACAGTTAAGCTAAGGCTGAAATGCCCCAAGGAGAAGTTGGGAATCCTACAGGCTCTGCGACCTAGTGCCCTGCACATTTCCTGTGCCTGCCCTGTAAATCCCAGCGCCCCTCTTCCCTTGATCACCAGTGAGACATGCAGATCGTTAACCACTGTGTAGATGGCGGTAGAGAGGGAGAGAGAAACGGCAGTGGCATACAGGCTTCTGTCTTGAGGTGCAGGAACTTAACTCATCTGGCTAAGGTGTATATGCAACCTTTTTACAAAAACCATCATTCAGGGCCAAGTGTTTATTTGCATACATGCCAAGTGTAGGGTAAACCCTTGGGGCAAATGAATGTGTTCCAGTTAGCCTAGAGCTTACAACAGAGTAGTTGTGAAGGTTAAACTTTATGCATCACTGGGCACAACATTGGCACCTAAATAATAGTACAATCACTATTGGTAATCCAGATTCTAGGTGACGAACACTCTCACCTGGGCTTAGATTCAATGTGCACCACTTCTGAGTACAGGGAAGCACAAGTGCAGTGCAAAGTGTTTTGGCAACTGGAGGGGCCCCAAGGAACAGGACCACTAGGCAAGAGTTCAGGACTGGATGGAGGATAATAGCACCTAGCTCATGTCAGGTGTGGTGAGTGACTGCCTGGGATCCTTAAGAATGCTGGTCTTGCACTGGCTGGTTTGGCTCAGCGGTTAGAGCGTTGGCCCGTGGACCAGAGAGACCCAGGTTTGGTTCCGCTAAGGGCACATACCTTGGTTGCAGTTTGTTCCCCAGCCCCTGTTGGAGTCATGTGGGTGGCAACCAGTCGATGTGTCTCTCTCACATCGATGTTTTCTCTCTCCCTCCCGTTCTGTCTGAAGATAAATGCAAAAATGTCCTCGGGTGAGGATTAAAAAAAAAAAAGAATGCTGGTCCTGTGATCACCCAGGAAATGAAAACTGCTACTGGCAGCTGAGGATCCAGATGCCCTGTACCCACTGTTTATACTGTCCCTGTCCCCGACCCTGGTCAGGGTCATGCAGGAGGCAGCCAGTTGATATGTCTCTCTCCCATCAATGTTTCCGTCTCTCTCTCTCCTGCCCACTCTGTCTGAAGATAAATGGAAAAATATCCTCAGGTGAGGATTAAAAAAATAATAATGATAAAATTAAAATTGTAAAAAAATAAGTCCAGCCAGTGTGGCTCAGTGGTCGAGTATCAATCCATGCTCCAAGAGGTCTCCAATTCTATTCCCAGTCAGGGCACGTGCCCAGGTTGGGGCCAAATCCCCAGTGGGGGGCAGGCAGGAAGCAGTCAATCAATGTTCTCACTCATCGATGTTTCTCTCTCTCCCTCTCACTTCCTCCCTCTCTCTAAAATCAATAAAGGAAAAAAAAATGTAAAAAAAGGCACTCAAATACTTCAGGATAAACATGAAGCTGAATATAAAAGAAATTAAAAGATAAAGGAACTAATTATAAAGTTATGATAATATAAATACTATTTAATTCAATTTAAAATAACGGTGCCCAGCCCTGGCCGGTTTGGCTCAGCGGTTAGAGCGTTGGCCTGCGGTCTGGAGAGACCCGGGTTCGGTTCCCGCTAAGGGCACGTACTTCGGTTGCAGTTTGTCCCCGGCCCTGGTCGGTCATGTGGGTGGCAGCCACTCGATGTGTCCCTTTCACGTCGATGTTTCTCTCTCTCTCTCTCTCTCCCTCCCACTCTATCTGTACAAAAATTGCAAAAATGTCCTCGGGTGAGGATAAAAAAAAAAGAATGCTATTAATACGATTTGCCACATTAGTAGGTCAGAGAAAATAAACATAATACATTCAATCTTGATAGATGCTGAAAAGGCATTAATAAAATTTGACAATAATTTTTTTTTAATTAGCTAATTGGTGTGGCTTCCCCACCAGGGCATGGAGGCCAGGCCTTCACAGGCCCTGACTACCAGGAGGACTGGAGTGCAAAGCAAACATCTTCAGAGGAAGAACAGTGTTGCAGTTTGGCACAAAGAGGTTAGTAAGCTGCTCTCAACCACACTAAAAACTCAACTAGCCAGAGGACATTCTCAAGGGTTCTATAGGGGAACGGGGGTGACTGTATGTCCCAAATGGCCCAGAACAGTCTGGTTTACATCTGTTGTCTCAGTTTCATTATTAAAGCATTCCCTTTTCCTCTCAAAAGTGTCCTAGTTTTTTTTTTTTTATATCCTCACCCGAGGACATTTTTTTCCATTTTTTGTTCAGATAGAGTGGGAGGGAGAGAGGGAGAGAGGGAGAGAGGGAGAGAGGGAGGGGGGGGAGGGGAGAGAGAGAGAGAGAGAGAGAGAGAGAGAGAGAGAGAGAGAGAGAGGGAGAAACATAGATGCGAAAGGGACACATTGAATGGCTGCCACCCGCACGACCAACCAGGGCCGGGGACAAACTGCAACCGAGATACATGCCCTTAGCGGGAACCAAACCTGGGTCTCGCTGGACTGCAGGCCGATGCTCTAACCGCTGAGCCAAACTGGCCAGGGCTGTCCTAGTTTAATAATAAGTTATATATGGTCAAACTCAGTATAATGAAGTTTGATAATGTTTGTGTGTATAAGAGGTTATATATACACAAGTCTGCATATTCCTATAACCATTTAGCTATAAATTTCCAAAAAATAATGAATGAGTCCTGGCCAGTCTTGCTTAGTGGTTAGAGCGTCAACCCTTGGACCAAAGTATCTTGGGTTCAATTCCCGGTTAAGGGCACGAACCTGGGTTGCAGGTTTGATCCCCAGCCCTGATTGGTCGTGCGAGAGACAACCAATTGATGTGTCTCTCTCACATCAATGTTTCTTTCTCTCCCTCTCTCTCCCTCCTCCCCTCCCTTCCACTCTATGTAAAAATCAATGGAGCCCTGGTCAGTTTGGCTCAGCGATTGAGCATCGGCCTGCGGACCAGAGAGTCCCAGGTTCGGTTCCCACTAGGGGCACGCACGTATCACCAAAAAAAAAAAAAAAAATCAATGGAAAAATATCCTTAGGTGAGGATTAACAACAACAAATAATTAATGAGCCTGGTCTCAGCACATGCAACCATCCTAAAACAAATTTAAGACATCATACAGAACTCTTACGATAGAGTCTTCTCATGACTTAATTTCATCATCAGAAATGTACCATCATATAAAGAAAATTGGTACTACTTCTCAGGAGCCAAGGGAGGAAAGCATTTCAGAAAGGAGGGAGCAAAAAACATTAACCATTGTTGACAATGAGAAACAGCGAAGTATAAATAGATGAGGCCTCCAAGTTTGCTGATGACAACTATTGGAGATCTTCAGTGAAACGAGTTCAGAAGAGCATTAAACCCACAGCAGAAGGGCTTGAGAATCAAGGAAGCAAGAGCAGTGGATACAGATTATGTTCTGTCCAATACAAACAGCTGTGAAGGTAAGAAAACAGCTTTACTGCTGCTTCCTCCTGGTTAACCAATCATTTTGTGGATGAAAGGGAAAGGGAGAGTTCAACATATGTGTTGAAATAACACTGGGAAATAACATACTAATATAATGTTCTTGATGATAAGGGTTACAACTCATCAAGTGGTACACTTAAGATTTGTTCATTTCTCTACATGCAAATTTTACCTCAAAAAAAAGAAAAAAAATCACAAACCAATACTGAACTCAACTTACTTTGAAATGCATCAAAAAATAAGATGATGAGTAGAGAGGTGGCCAGCTGGGTAGACAAGTGACAAAGCAAATGTGGCAGAATGCTATCTAGATGGTGTGTTTACTATAAATTTATTTCAACTTTTCTGTATTTTGAAATTTTTCATATAAAATGTTGAAAAAAAGGCAACCATCAATTACACCTTACTTCCAATCTACATAATGTAATCAACATTGAGATACTATGAAGATTGAATACTCAGAAAGCCTTATCTTTGCAAAGAGGGGTACACACAGGTTAAGAAATGGCCAGCACTCACCTACAGACTGCGAAGTGAACGCTGCCACGATCTGGGGGCTGGCCAAGGCCTCCAGCCTGTTCTTCAAGGCCTCCAAGTGCACACATTTTTCTGAGTAGTCTGGTGTGTCAACGAGCATCATCAAGCTATTCTGCATGCCTGTTAGCTTGGCAGAAATCACAGCTATGTCCTATAAAAAGACCGGCACAAAGGATACTTATTTTAAAACACCCCTGCTACTTCAGTTAATAACAGATAAAATGTATGAAAAAGCATAAAATAAGAAAATGGCTGTTGACTGGTTGCCTTCCATATGTGCCCCAACCGGGACCAAACCCAGAAACTAGGTACATACCCTGACCAGGAATCGAACCTGTAGCCTTTCTGGTGCATGGGACAACGCTCCAACCAACTGGCCAGGGATATATGCTTTTTTAAACTGTTTATTCCAAATTAATAGTCAGTAGTAAGTGTTTTGCTACGTAATTAATAGTTTTCAAAAACATTTTTTTGTTACAATATTCCACCTGCCATTATGAGTGACCCATAACGTACATTTTATTTATTATGGAAGATTTAGGTTGCTTCCAGGTTTTTGCTATTACAACATTAAAATCACACTAATTATAGCACATTAGTATCTTTGTGTCCTCTGATTATTTCCTTAGACAAATTTCTAGGAGAGGGAATACCAGGTCAAAGGATGTTAATTTTTTTTTTTTTTAATCCTCACCTGAGGATATTTTTCCATTGATTTTTAGACAGAGTGGAAGGGACGGAGGGTGAGAGAGAGAGAAACACTGATGTGAGAGAGACACTGATTGCCTCCCTCATGACCCCAACCAGGGCTGGGGATCAAGGCACATACCAACCAGGTATGTGCCTTTGGCTGGGAATCGAACCCATGACCCTTCAGTTTGAGGATCTGAGGGCCTACTAAGCCAAACCGACCAGGGCAGGATATAAATGTTTTTAAGATTCTTGATGCATGGTACTAAACTGCCTTCCAAAAAGACAATATGAATTTATGG